GAATTACACAAGAAATCATCATGCTATGCAGCTTCACCATCCAACAATCCATCCACTATATCTCATATATGTTTAAAGGAGGAAGACAATAAGACAGATGATCAGAAGGTTGTGGCTGCACTAGTTAACAGTAAATCAAGGTAACCAGAGTGTGATCTATTTTTTTAATTCTGAAAAGACGTGTAGTGCAGTTTACATCAATAATACCCTTATGCAGAAGTGCACACCAAGAACACTCTCCTGACAAAGGTCATAATCAATATACACAAGAACCGTAGTAAGCAATAACATAGCATATTATAGTATTGAGTAAGATGAATATTGCAGTTTGAATAACAAAGTTTTTTATATAACAYTTTTTGGATATTTGTTCACATGTTAATCTAAAAGAGTAGCAGTAATGAGATCATGCTGAGARTAATTGTTGAGTTGCAAATGAGATTAAAAGCAGTTTTTGTTGYGGACATTACCCTYTTGYATATCAAAGTTTTRAGGCCTGAATAATCAAGCTGAAATGGTGTAAAGAAAATTTGGCAATTGCAAAATGATTATCKGAGTCTCTTAGTGTTTGAGGCTTTGTATTTGCACTTCTAGGCATAATTCCAGTCCATAATCATGACAGATAAAATCTACATGTAAATGGCTCAAGATACTATGCCGCGTTTAATGCCCTGCTTCAGAGCGGGTGTGGTCATTTTTTCAAAATAAACTGTGATTTATGTTAATTCAGTATATTGACAATAATAAAATATGGTTTTGATAGACTTGAAGGTTTTTGAAATTCAAGATTTTTCTCTATCTCATGTGGAATTGCCCATATGCATCTATTCATATAATAATATATAATAATWTATTGGTGTTGGGATATGTTTTAAAGGTGATGGGCAATTTACATTGAAAAGTCTCCAATCTCTCCTGATAAAATAAAAACCAGTAAAATTTATCATTTTAGTGTTCCTGAAAAAGATGTATTAATCAGCCAGTCTCAAGATCTTTCTTCAAATATACTGGTATGTGATTATTTTATTATAAGAGATGTTTATTATCATGATTCTATCAATGACTACACCCTAAGTCAATCACAATGCAGTGATCAGCTTATAATGATCTCAAAATGGATATGATTACAATTCAACTACTTGAATTTGGGTAGAAATTCTAATTCTTAGTACTCCTATACAGTCCTAACTTCCCAAGAACAACACACAGTACACAGTACGCAGTGGACGGTCAAAGCCAGCAACCAATATTTTTTATTACAAAAAACTTCCCCTACATAATAACGTAATTTCTTCACCCAGTCCACTCTGAATCAGGCTCATGCACATTTTGATATAATACAAGAAAAGAATTAAGTTATAGACATGAACTTAGACCACAATAATCTGTACCTGAAATCGCTTCATCCTTCTTATATACACAGCTCCTATTTACATAATGTCACATGCACAATAGTGCCCAGTCCTTACGTAGCTAAGGAAAATAATTCTTTCTCACTCTCCACTTGCTCATTTGTCTGTTACAAGAGGAATACATTTTTAGGGCTCGCACCCTCACATTCTACCAACTTACAATTGGATTGATTCATTATATAATTGTATTGAGAGTCCTGATGTGATGGCTGCAATATGACTGGGTATGTTGATTGCCATACATAACTGTACTCTAAGTTGACTAACTTCCATTTCTTATAATGAAGTAATTTTGTCAAATTATTGTTAATTTAAGGCTACTTCAAGAAGTGTTACAAGTCCAAAAAGTGAAACATCCCAGAAAAGCAAAGATATTAATTGTTTACACAGTAAAAAAGAACAGAATGATGACCCTTTTGGATTTGATCAGATTGGAGATGATTCTTCTCCAAATTCCAAACAAAGTACTGGCACTAATTCCAAACAAAGTACTGGCACTAATTCCAAACCAACTACTGGCACTAATTCCAAACAAACTACTGTCACTAAATCCAAACCAACTATTGGAACTATATCCAAACCAACTACTGGCACTAATTCCAAACCAACTACTGACACTAATTCCAAACCAACTACTAGCACTAATTCCAAACCAACTACTGGAATGGATTTAAGCTCTGATTTGTCGCAAAATATGAAAGATGACATTGTTAATCAGATTGTGCCAATGAAAACAGATATTGGTGTGGATTCTCCTAATCAAAGTTTAGAAAAAGATGATGTAACCTTGGAACAAAAGCAAAATGAAAACCTGGTCTCTTCAATACTTGAACCAGTGCAAACAAATAGCATCATAACTTCCAGTGCTGTTGTCCAGGACTCATTTACCAAAGATAACAAGAATTTGCAACCTCAAGCAATAACACCATGCCCCATAAATAAAAACACTTTTAAGGAAAAAACAAAATCGAAACTCTCTACAAAGAATCAAAAACAATTATCCTCAGTTGTATCACCCTGCATGACAAGCACTTCAAACTCTGATAACAAGAAAACAAATGCTACATGTACATTGAATACTCTTCAAAGCATAGAATCAATAGAAGAAGATAAGAAACCAGCCACTCAACAAGCTAACTTTATTATCAACAAAACTGAGAATGATGTAACATCAAATCGTGCCTCAGTCATCAAGTATATAGATAGAAAGTGTGGCTCTAAAGTGAAAACAAGTTTTGACTCACTAGGTGATTCTAAAGACAAAAGTGTCACTAGTCCTACAGGTAGTCTTCCATTTTCAGTCAGCCAGTTGCTAGAATTTCACAAAACATCGGCTCAAGCAGCTGTTAAGGTATTTGAAGAACAAAACAATTCTGCATTGGATGTCCATGGTAATCCTCAGCTGTCACAAGAGAAAGCCAAAGGAATGAAAAGGAAAAGGAAAAAACGAGACAAGGTTTTTCCAGAATGTGAAGGAAAAACTCCAGAAAAAAGTTCTAGTCAGAGAACTTTACAGCTACCTGGTGCTCAAAAACTTTTTTCTGGACCACATCAAGACAACTCTCCTGATAGCAAAACAACCATCAGTTCAAGCCAGGATTTGGTGAGCAGATTCTTGGGACATGAAGGCAAGAGCAAATTTTTCCCAGAGTTAAATATTGTAGYAACTAGCCAGTCCTTATCACAGGAAGCATTGCAAAGTAAAAATGCTATTAACATTCCAAAAATTGAAAAGACAACTTSTGAACAGAATAAAAGTAGAGCTGTAGAAGAACAGAAATGTCATGACTGGAGAATGACTAGAGAAAACAGAAGTCTTACTTTGAACTCTGAAAAACCATCCCAGAAAGAAGTTTCAAAGTCAAGTGTACCTGTCAACTTTGTAGCAGATCAAACAGTTAGGAGCTTAACAACTGTCAATCGTGCTCAGGAACCTGTGGCCCTCTCAAGTTTAATTGGAACTGAGCAAAACGTTGAACAAATCAGAAGAGAAGACTCTGAAGATGACATGAGCAAAGCCCTATCAGAACAAAGAAGGCAAAGAAAGAAAAGTAGAAAAGTGTTAGAAAATGAAAGYATGGACGAAAGCAATGAAAAAAGAAAACCAAAGTCAAATAGTGAGCCAAGGAAACGTAAAAAGGSCAAATTAGTAGACAAAGATAATAGCAAGAACATGGATGGAAGTGATAATGGGGAAACAAAACCTGATGTGGTCAAGGTTACAAAGAAAAGAGTTAGAAAGAAAGATAAAGAAGAGTCTCTAGATAAGGAAAGTAGTCTTCTAGTTGACCCAAAAGATAAGGTTCAAAGAGAAATCTTTTCATCTGAGCAAACATCTCAAGAAGCRGACTGCAAAAGTATAAAAGGGGAACTTCAGGCAGATTCAGAAGTCAAGGTTGTGAGTGAGAAAGTGAAGCCAGAAGATGAACAAAAAGAAAACAATGAAAAGACACATTGCAATCAAGAAAGCAAGATTGACTTACAGAGTCAAGAAAATGARTCTTTCAAACCAGTGCTTCAAAGATCATGGAGTGAAGACACCATTGAGCTGAATTTAGARTGTGGAGAGAGAATGAATGATGTTACCAATGAGAATGACAGTGTAGATTTATCTGCAACAAAGTATAGTTTGCCTGAAGATACAAACAATGCTGTTCCTGATGAGAAAGGCAAGAGCATTGTATTTCATGGAGTTTCAACAATAAAAGGTAGGAAGAATTTAACTTCAACAATGAATTGTCTGGTGTCTTGTTTTGTTTCTTTATTGGACATCTTCAATGTATTATTGAATTGTTTGTTTGTTTTTTTTTGTTCATTGTGGATCTAGTTAATTTCGACTTTGATTCTTTGAATCACAAAATTCCAATTGTATTGTCAGATAATTATGATCTTTCTTATAGTCCATCACCCTCAGTGTGCAAGGTCATAATAAAATAGAGTTATTATGGCATTGTGTTAATTACACCATTGTGGTGTGTTAAATCCAATTATTATTGCTTTGTCATACTTTTTTGTGCATTGTATACAGTAGTTTAGATACATGCCATTGTTTGTTTATTATTTGTAGATGAGTGCATAACTGAGGAAAAACCCCTGAAAGAAATTATTGATAAGCTTGCAGCCAAAAAGAAGATTGGTAATAAAAAGCCACACAAGAGAAAGAGAACCCAGGAGAATTCTGAAGGTGCACACAATTATTAATATCTTATTAATATACTGTCAGTCAAGATAAGCTAGTACTCACATGTAACAGAAGAAAGATCTGTAAATCCTTTGAAATCAAGATATTGACCATATGAAAAACGAGCAGAAGACTGGGAATGAGGACCCTAAACGGTCCATGTTTTTAAAAAATCCGTTTTCACTATATTATTAGAAACAGTATATCTAAACTAGTAAACTGGAGTAGTTTTAGTTACTAAAAATGTTAAATATCAGCAGAGTTACAAGCATTTGAAATGTACCAAAAATGTGAAAACGAGGCTGGTAAGGCCTCAATACTGATTTTCACTCAAACCTTTGCAATTCAAACACCTATAATTTCTGGTCCTTAAATGTTAGAGCATTGAAACTTTCAGATCTTATGCATTGTAATATGTTCTTTCAATGAGTAGTAATGATATAATTATATCTATTGAGTAAAGTTTATTATTATATATTAAACATAAAATAAGACGTTACGATAGCCACACCCTTTTTCATATGGTCTATACCCTGTTTGAGTATGTCAGACTGCATCAATGCAGATTCTGCACACCTATCTGCTGCAAACCATATTCAGTACAATGTACATGATGACCAAGGAAATCTTGATATTGATTGGTCCTACCATCTCAWGGATACCCATGTTAAACAAACAATCTGACAATTTCATGTTACAACAGGTCAAGAAATAAAGAAGAGAAAGGTGAAAGAGCCAGCAGAGGAATTTTTTATACAGGTAAATGTTTTGTGTTGTCTTTCACAACTTTCTTCTCTTTGGGAGAAGAAAACCTGTTTTAGAACGCATCTTTTGTACTATTACTTTTAGTTGGGCCCGTGCAGGTAACACGACTGAAAATTATTTCTTGTTTAAATTTATCTCCTGCAGAGTGACAACTGTGCTATGTTTCCTAAGTTACCAAGATGTAGAGACTGCAGAGACAGAGAAGATGACACTGGGTTATCACCAACTCAAAATTGCTGTAGATTTGCCTTGTTTAGAAGGTAATAGGTYGTAGTACATGTAATATGGAAGAATGTTATGACAAAGGTATCATGGGATTCTGGGGACTTTTGCTCCATAGCTCATATCACAGTAGCTAATAAATGTTATCACATACATTTTCTGAAAGCTGAATCAAAGGATACACAACTATAGTGTTGCATCATTTAGCTTGTTTGGCAATGGGGTAAGATGACCAGATGCTGCTTGTAGACATAATGTGAAGGTTTCTTGTAACTATATGTGATCATAATTGTATGCTATTATATGCTGCTATATATGATTGAGTGTATGCTCTCATAATTCATTTCTTTGGCATGTTATAAAGACTAAAGAAAAAGAGGAGATCTGGTAAAATTCATGTTGCTGGATTCATGATGCCCGAAAATGCAGAGCAAGAAGATTTAACTCCTTGGATTGCTTCTGATGATGGTTTGTAAAATTGCTATAATATTCACTTGATACAAAACTGTTTTTCATATTACACAAAATTCCAGATCTGGAAATTATACATATTGTATGATGGTTTGGACACCAATCAAAGTTGCAGTAGAATACTAATATAAAAGTCTAGTCTAGTCTAGTCTCTAGTGTAAGGTGCAAATAACAAAACCTAATTAAGACAGGTTTTGATGACATAATTATAAATTATTATAATTAAGGTGTTTTGATCGTAATAAATAGCGTTCCACACGTATTTTTAAACCCCAACTACGTCGCAAATTTCGATTCCATTGCACTCAAATTTTMACAGAAGTAACAGTGATTATCGATAATTCTTGTTGATAAATTAATTTGCTAAAAAGCGAAGCCATTTGGATAAACGATGCAAAATAAAAACATCTTCACATTTCTTCAAAATTAATTTTCTCGAAACTCATCGAGAGATTGTAATAAAATTTTCAGAATCATTTTTTGATAACATAATTGATATACTGACGAAGTTTCAATAAAATCTTAACCTAAAATTTCAAGTTGTTCGAATGTACATCATTTTGCTCAAACAAATTGAAATTTTAGGTTAAGTTTTAATTGAAACTTCGTCAGTATATCAATTATGTTATTAAAAAATGATTCTGAAAATTTTTTACAATCTCTGCGATGTCATTTGACACACTTGACATGTTTGTCAAATAAAAATTCATTCAAACATTACATGCTGGTGAAAGCTGGTTTGTGTTAAAAAACTTAAAATGGTCCTTGATACATTGATTTGATCCACAATATTTCTGAAAGAAAATCGAAGTTGGCGCTTTGTAACTATGTAATATAGTCTGAGGACTATTCAAATAGACCTCAAGTAATGTASCTAATCAAAATGTAGGGTATGCAATAGTCCACTAGTATCATTATTACTAACAGTGATACTAATAATGAATAAATCACCAACCAAGCAATGCACTAATTATTGTATTTGTCTGTGATTGATTACATCAGTGTCCAGTATGCTTAGCAAGGATGGGGCTCATTATATTCTAAGCAACATTGCTGATGAATTTTGCTCATTGGTCCAAGAGGAGAAAGGAGCTAAGAATTCCAGAGGAGACGGAGGTTAGATTGTGATTATGCCTTCTGAGTTTATTTTCTTAAACCTTCAATACTGATTCAAATTCTCTTCTCGTAGCTGTCATATCATACAAAAGAGCTGTCGGTGGATTCCGTGAAATGTGTGATGCCTGTGCCACCACCATATTTAACATACATTGGGTGTGCCACAGATGTGGATTTGGAGTTTGTCTGGATTGTTACAACTTGAGAGTCCAAGAAAAGATAAACACACCACAATGTAAGAAGCACTAAAATGTTGTTTATAGAACTCTTTGAGTTTTTTATTTTATTTTAACTGCAGTATTKCACACTGACAAAGTTAGGTTAAGTGTAATGATTTATTATCAGTTTGTTTTCAATTGAAACTTGCAGCAAATGGGCATAATAATATTATTTTAATATTAATCATTTCAATGCTCGCTTAGATAATATTACCTTTTTTTCAACTCAGCATGTTTTTTTCAATAAGGTGTATGAAAAAACCTCCCTAAACAATAATATTGACAAAGATTATTGTTAGCGATCCAGGATTATAATAACACTCATTTGATATATGAGTTAAAAATATACTTTTATTTATGGAGAAATACATTGTTGTGATTTTTTAATACAGTTGGTAGAAAGATGTTTCAGTTTAAATGGTTCCATTGTATTCCTGGTTTATCACATCAGCCAAAGAACCTCACAATAGCACAGATCATACCAAAAGAAGGTATGTAAAACTGTTGATAACAGTTGTTATATTATAATATAATTATTGTGATAGTGAAGTTGGATCCATTATAGCGTCCACTGATTAGAATTAGTTTGGAATCTGTAGCACTATTTTGAACTATAGTCAATGATAGGATAATGTTGCGTCTGTTTTATTTATTGCTTGAGCAGTTTGTTTTACATACTATTTATCTTCTGATGCAGTTCTCAATGATCTGTCTGATAAACTCCACCAAATTCGCTCAAGATGGAATATAGGAAAAGATTGTCCTTGTCAGTATAAACAGCTAAACAGAGGAGAAGACCCTGAAGAAAGCAAACCAGAGTTGGCTGATGGTTTGAATCATGTATGTAAAATGCTTCCCACAAGTCCCAAAGCTGAACTAAAATCAGATCCTGAAAATCAAGAAACCAAAAAAACACTGATGGAAAAAGTTAGAGAACGAATTAAAGAAAGAATGGGGGCCAACAAAATTGAAGAAAATGGTACAAATCCATCATCTAATTTCGATGAAACCAAACATGAAAAAGAACATAAAAAACCTAGTGATGAAAGTGAACAAATAACACACGGTAGCGGTAAAGTATCTCAAACCACTTTAGATGAGAACAAGATTACAGATGAACAGAAATGCACTGGTGCTTCTCAAACTGTTACACTAATTGGTGCTTGTTCAGAAAGTCCAAAGGGGATTTTGCCCACTGGAGATAAAGATTTAATCAAAGAAGAAAAGAGAAGCAGAGAAGGTGTGTATTATAATGATAATAATTGTTATATAGAATTAGTACAATATTTCTATTACTGACTGACTCATCAGAATGAACATTTGCTAACTGGTTTTTATAAATACATGTATTGTACATTTCTTACTCAGCATTTTAAGTGCAGAGTTAGTGAGACGAGACACAAGGTTGTAAAAAGTAACATTTTAATTTAGCCACTGTATGATGCTTCCCATTTTAAATGATCCAAAGGCAAACATTTTTTTTCCTGTATGGCCTGACCTGGTATCCAGTAATTTCACCCTGCGGTAGTTKTGACCCCATCCAAAGTATTCCTGCCCCCATAAATATTCCGCGTTTCATTACTAAATGTAAATTAAAACAAAATTATTAACAAATTAATTTAAAGATTACTGTCTAAATAACAAAGAGTATAATGATCCTTTATATTGGCAAAACATTCTGACAAAAATAAAATTGTTAAAAATGGAATTAGACACTAAGGTTTGTTTTCCCCCTACAATATTACCTTCAGAACTTCTGCACAATGTGAAAACCTGTTTTAGACATATTGTGACAATAAAAAGAAACCAAAATAATAATTATAATAATAATAAGAACACTGATGGAAAACGTTACAAAACAAATTAAAGAAACAATATTTAGAGTGTTTGATTGGGATTATGGATTCAATTTGAATGCTGCAACTGTACTTCAAATTGATGTTTTTTGGGTATTATCAAAATATGATATTTATAATCAATATTACAAAATTCCTTCTTTCAGAACTGGTAAACAACACACTAGAAGGTCTAAGTGGTTTTTCAAGTGGACTCACATTGCTTCAAAATTATGATTCTTCATCAGAAGACTCACCAGAAAACAGTCCTCAGACATGTCTTGAGCAACCAGGGCCAACAAACAGTGCTTTTGATTTCAATTTAGGATTGCTTGCTTTAGTTGCCAGCAAAAGAACTGAAGACCACCGCTTTGGGCAGCAGTTGGATAACAAAGAAGATGTTCTTCCTGCTGTGGATAAAGGAGTAGAAGAACAAAAGCTAATGAATTGGTTCAAGAAAGAAACATCTGAACAAATTAGTATCAAAACAGAAAATGATGTCTCTTCTAATAATGCTGTGACAGCCACCAAAGGTGAAGCAAGCTGCTCCAGTATAACCTCAGATAACATGGGTACTAGGGACCATACACAGCCATCACTTTCAGTGGAAGAATATCCAGCTCCACATTCCTTCATGTGTAACAGACGGTTGTTAAGACTACACGAACCWCATCATCCTGGAAACCAAGATGCTTTTGCTAAGAGATGGATAGAAGGAAAGGTAAATGATTGTGACATGACTTGCACAATAACTTTGCTTTTTTGTTCTGTTTTTCTTTGTTGTTTGGATCTATGAATTAATGATTAAAATACTTACTCTAAAAGTGTATATTTATTTGACATGATTTCCATGTAAGATTGTAAAATATGTGAAATGAATTTATATGATTGTCGCAGTGTAGATAATAATCTATTAAGCGATTATTAAGAAATGTTTGTATTGTAAAAAATCATGCCTCAGTTTGGACTGGACTCTGAATAGTGGTTAATGTCTTATTGGTGTTATAGTGATTGGTGTTGGGATTCAAATGATCTATCTATAGGATGATGCTTTCCCATAAAGTATGAGTAGTCAAGTGCGTGCTTGTAGAATTGTCCTGACAAAATAGAGATTGTGGATCACGCTTTACCAGTCCCAACTGAGGCAGTTTTTTTTACAGTTTTTTACATTTTTCTATAGTTTTCTACAGTCTCAAACACTCTTGTAGAACATATTTTTAATTAATCACTAGTTGCTTTTACAAATTATATTCAATTCTACATGTATAGTGTAGAGAAAATACCATCCCTATATATGCAAGTTACATATATTGAGTTTTTCATTTTCAGCCAATTCTTGTCAGCAATATTGACAAATTACTGGATAGAGACCTATGGTCACCAGAATCCTTTGAAAAAGAATTTGGTATGATTTTCACCATCATGACATTATTATTGCCATCTTCATCCATTGTAATTGTTGGATCAAATGAATTCATTGTGATTCATTATGAACAAGCACACAAAACAACATAATAGAAGACTCAATAGTTCTGAACTAAGACCCTTCTTGTAGGTTTTTATATTTCCAACTACGACAACAGATCGTGATCATGGAATATAAAATGCTATAATTTCTCATGTACTTAGAGTGGTACTCAAGTTCAGCTTGTCTTTGTGAAATAAGCTTAAATTGCTAATTTTCATACTTAAATGGTAAACCTACTGTCTAATCATACATTGTTTCTTGACGTTTAACATGTTGCTAAATATAGGGGAAGAGATAGCAGATGTAGTTAATTGTCGTACTGGAAAGACAGTAGAAAACTTCCGTGTTGGTGACTTTTGGAAAGGATTTGAATGTGTGAAAGGTACATGTTTGTTGACTGCTTTGTTTGGTTTTTGCATTACTTTTACTGAAATTCTTGTTCAAGTCAAACAATAATTGTCTTAGTTTGTTGATCTTTATCTGCTTTTTTCCAATTCTATTTGATAGAACGAGCATTAGACAGTAGTGGAGAACCAATGCTTCTTAAACTTAAGGTGAAGAACCTAGTAAATTGTTATGTATGAATAAGTTATTTCWGCTCACTGAATACCATGCTAAACATTGTGCTCATGACATTTCAGTCTTCATTGATATTTTGTATCAATTTTGTTTTAATTCAATTTCAATTTATTACTATATATTCTTATATATTAGATACATTTGTGGATTTCAGTGACCTGCAACTAGTTAAAACTATTCTAAGGCAGGTCACTGATTATATATGTATATATTTACTTCCAATACACTTATTCGAGTTTAAAAGGTCAGGTAAAAGTACAAAATACAAATTAAATTAAATWATTTACAAGCTATTTGCAAACTGAAGGCAGCACCATTAAATTGAAATAGATAGAGAATGTTGATAAGTATATATATATTTTTTTCAAATTTTCTTTTACAGTAAATGTCTTTAGGTTTATATTATTTTGCTACAAAATAGTGGATGTACCTGACTACAACTTCTCAATTTTTATAAGCATCTGATACAATATTTGTTTTCTTTCTATAGGATTGGCCTCCAGGAGATGATTTCTGTGAAAAGCTGCCATCTCGGTATGTTGCACAAACTTTTTACAGTCCGTTTACAGTAGTTTTGGATGTATGGTATATTTTGTAGTTAATCATGGCTACAATTTCAGAGTGTGTTCTTTAACTTTATATTCTTCCCAAGAAAATCAAAATATACATGATTATTTTATTGTTTATGATTCAAGTGAACAGGATGTTGTCAAATAATCATGATAATCATGATCATAATATATGTCATATTGTTATTTATTCTTTTTTAAATTAGACTTTTGTTTGTTGTATCCCAAGGTTCCAAAACCTGATGGACAACATTCCTTTGCCAGCTTACACACGAAGAGATGGACTAAGAAACCTTGCTTCAAGGTAGAAGGGCTTAAAGTGCTTTACAAATAAATCCATATGTGTATTTAACATCTTTAYCTTCAAAATATGTTAGTGATTAATGACATTTTTCAAATTCTAAAACTGTAATCTCGCAGGGACATCATTTATAGCTCTGGTTACTGAAAGACTAGTATTCAGCATTCGTATTCAGTCCTGGCTGATACAGTTGGTCTTGTGAACTACTAATTTCTTGATTGTTGATTGCTTTACATTACAATTATTACAGGCTCCCAAGCTTCTTTGTTAAACCTGACCTGGGTCCTAAGATGTACAATGCTTATGGTAACTTCATTGAACTTAATTTGTCTTGTTTTGTCACTATTAACATGACACTGGATGTTTCTGTTGATATTTTTAGGATCAGCAGCACATCCTAATGAAGGGACCACAAATTTACATATAGATATGTCTGATGCTGTAAATATTATGGTATGTCACACATACAAAAAGGCTTAACAGTACATCCAAAGTCTGTTTAGTTTACTTTGCAGCCTACCCTTTTGTCAGGCTAACTGTGCCTCCCCAAGACAGGAAGCCTGATAAAAGGATAAGCTGCAATGGGAACATAATTTAGATGTTTTAAAATAGCTAGATTCAATTTTTTATGACCAGGTTTATGTTGGTGTTCCAAGAGATGAAGGTGCAGGAGAAAAAGAAAGAGCAGGTACAGTGTATATATCATGATCAATCCTTTCTAATTCCCTCCGAGCATGCCTGTGCAATGTTTTCTTATGTTTGCTGTCTGCTGATGTTTAGTCTTTACTTGAATCATGTTTTGTAGCTGCTATCAAAGCTGTTGACATTGCTTGTGATGAGATACAGCAACAGAGGGTTAGAAGAGAAACAGCACGAATTGTATGTATTTCTTTTCTCCTACAGTTATTTGCATGAATTGATTTATATATTTACATTGTATGCATATGTTCAAAACTTTAATAAAAATGTTATTGTCTGCCTACCCAGTACCTAACCTATTCTTTACCAGTGTAGGAGGTAGTTAACCATATTTATGTGTATGTGTATAGGTAGGTTACCTGTACCAATACACAGATACTATGTACTATCTTTTTATTAAGGTCTCTCTTTGGCTCTGATTGCATTCCATTTATTTGCAACGTTATGTAGCATATTGTAGTAACACTTATTTTTTTAATCAACCAGGGTGCTTTGTGGCACATTTTTGAAGTGGATGATGCTGACAAAATAAGAGAATTTCTATTGGAGGTATTATTTTTTTGAATTCATTTTTTGATTTTTCACAATTCTTTGATTGGGTTAATCAAGCTCATAGTAATAATTTTATTATGGATAACAGGTGGGAAAAGAGCGCAAATTGAAGTACTCTACTCACCATGACCCCATACATGACCAGGTATTGATTGTTCTCTGTTTAATTATTTGTTCTTTACAAGTTATTTTTCATTTTTGTTTTCTGTTAAATTGTTCTATTTCTGTGCTGTTATAAAGTCATTATTGGGTCAAGAGGTGGTCTAGTAAGTAGATTCAGGAGACTGTCCAGCCACCATTGTCTTCCAATAAACCTCAGTCAGTCAAGGGATTTCAGGAGAGGTTTATTGTGATTTTTTTTAGAAAGATTTTTTAAAAGTAAAGCAGGTCAACACACAAAAGACTAGAAGTGCATTTCCAAATACAAGCTCAGCATTCAGAAGGATAGAACAACTGTAGAYGTCATCTCTATATTAAACACTTTAATCTGCTCATAGGGTGGCGAGCTGTATATGGTACTAGTGTATGGATCTCCTCTCATAAGGTTTTTTTTACTAAGTGCTTTTAACTAAATGTCAATTGTTATTCTTTAGTGTTTCTATTTGGATGAAGAATTGCTTGAAAGATTAAAAAGRGATCATAATGTAGAGGGGTATGCTATTTGCCAGTGTTTAGGGGATGGTGTATTCATACCTGCAGGAGCACCTCACCAGGTAAAGTAACTGTTTATGAATATGTCCTTTTTCCACTATGCAGATAATACTAGGCTGTCACTGAGGTTGGGACTTATGCACCAGTAGCTTTCTGAATTCTAACAATTATGGTGACTCATTTGGACTGCAGGTCTTTTTGCGCAAAAGGCTTTTTGCACAAGGTTCAAGCTCTTGGCACAATTTTAATAACTGAGAAATGTAGTTCTATTATAAAAGGTTCTTACTGTTCTTTAAGGGAATTCCACATGTCCAGTGCCATAAATACAGTACTTACCTGCTTACAAGAATCTGCAATTTTTAAGAACCTGTTAGTCTAAAAATATGAAAATAGACCCCATTTACATAAGAACCTATTTATCCTAAAATTTGAAACAGATACAAATTGGAAAGGAGAAAAATACTTAATCAATGTGGCAAATAACAAGAAAATGACTTAGTTTSCTTTATATTGTTGAATGTAAAAATGCAGTAAATTGTAAAGTGTTAAGAATTTATTTATTTGTTTTTTTTAGGTCCGTAATCTTTACAGCTGTGTGAAAATAGCTGAAGACTTTGTTTCTCCAGAGGTTAGTTGAAGAATAGGTTGTGTACCTGCAGTACAAGTTTTCTTGACACTTGCATTGTGTGGTATCATTGATTTCTAATAATGTTTTGCAGCGCATTGGACAATGTTTTAAAACTACTCAAGAGTTCAGACATTTATCAGATAAACATACAAATCATGAAGACAAACTACAGGTAGGCAAGGCTAATGGAATATAGTGCCATCCTGGAAACATAATATCATGATTATTATCACAAATTTRATTATTTTTCTATATTATGTACTATTAAGCTATTTGAAAAGTTATTACAACAGTTTCTAAAGCATAAGCAGTTCACAAGTTTACCAAAGCGTTGCTTTGATTAGGATTGTTGATAATATTTCACAAAAAGAATCATAATGGTGATTTGAAGGAAATCTCCAACCAAACATCCCATATCTTCAGAGTTGTCCCATACCTAGTGTTGTTATTGGTTTTAATTTCTTTTTCCTTTCCAGATYAAGAATATTATATACCATGCTGTAAAGGATGCTGTTTCTGTTCTAGAGCATCATGAAAAACTTTTACAGGAACAGAACAATACTATAATAGATTCATGATTAAGATTTTCCGAAAATTCATAGTTAGTAACTGTAATCTCTGTATTGATCAAATCAAAGCTTTTTACATTCTCAAAAATAATGTACTTCTAACTTTTTGAAACTGCCATCATTTGATAGAATACTAATGAGTAGATAATTCTGGAATTCTTTGAATTTTTAAGTTCTGCCATGAAACATTTGAGTATTTTATGTCTCTTTATACATGTATCAAACTAAATATAGAGATACCAATAGTACATAGATTTGTGCTATTTATTAGTAAATGCTTAATATTATTACATCATATAATGATAATGGGGATATTGATGTACATGTATTATATCAATATTTGCACGTAATTCCCTAGTGCCCATTGGAACATGCTAAAAACAAAATGTAGGTCCGTAGAGTTTTAGTTCCTATATTATAATGGAAATATGTACATGATGGATTTATTTATTTTTTTAAAAAAGTATAGCGCAGGCATTAAACATTTAACTTGGATGTTGCTAATTATGTGTGTGTTTTCTGATGATTCTTACACCTTGATTTTTATTTACTAGATTTTCTTTCACAGGATTAATAAACTCAATTTCCTTGGTTGATTTACTAATAATAGAAGTCTACTCTTTATAAGAACTCTCTGTGAGACAATGTTGTATTAGTTTGCACAATTCTGTTAGCAAACTAATTAATTTTTATTTTGTCTGATGATATAATTGCACTCTATAGTAAATGAACTCTAGTCATATTATCACATGTAGGCTTATATTTGTTTGATCTACTTATTGCAGTCAAAGCATTTGTTACTGAAGGGTTTAGCTCATTTTCTTTTACACGAAATAGGGTGAGACCAAAACCATTATAATATCAATTTCCACCAATAAAAATATATAGGGTAAAACACATGCTGTGATTGGCTGATGACTGTTGATTGTTGTTCAGACTACCCTGCATAGCGTCCCTAAAGGGATTGTGGAGGGCCGAGATTTCTCCGCTCAGCCCTCCCCCTGCTCAGGCTAGTTCAGGCAGGACAAAAAAGAAAAACAAAGCAAACATATAATAAATTGAGTGTTCATTAATCTTGTTATCAGACAGTGTAAATACTGGGCAGTCAAATTAGAAGAGTTCTCTTTTGGAAAGATAAAAGAGGAAACTAGGGTCTTGGGTTATAACACATATTTACATATTTTGTATTCATTATTAAATACTTTTGTAATAGAAAAAGAAACTGAAGGTTTTACTGCATGTCACTTATAGAAATAACATTAGCACTCTTCTCAATCTGGGCATTAAGATTTGTCACAAACTTCCATGTRTGTAGCTGGCAATAGGATGTGGCTGCTATATATTACATGTATGTTTTCAATGAATATATTTAGGTATGTATTGCAATGTATTGACTGATTTCAAGATTTTTTTGAAAATAATAAACTATTTTTGTACTATTACACTGGCTTTTAATTATTTTTCAGCAAGTAGAACAAATGTTGCCAAACTATTGCAAAATTAACTTCCAGTAGGCAATAAGCAATATAAATGTAACCATGATTTTTCGCCATTGGAGGATTGTCATTGAAATATTATTTTTGGTCAGTGAAAAGTCTGGGAAGAGCCTGTTTCACAGTTCTGTTCCATCATCATCAACGTTSCTATGTAAAGGAAGCGCCCAGCTGGCATCACGCCTGTGTAAGTGTATGTAAAATTTTTCTGTAAATATATAGCACTACGACTTGAGAGTGTATCGAGCTGCGTCCTTCACAATTCATCACCCCTGCTGTGATGTAGAACAGTATGCTCCCACCACCTTTTCCCTTTTTCATCGAGARGTGTAACTGTGCTGCCTTTTGAATTAAAGTTTGACAACTGGCAGATGTGCAACTTTTGTTCCAGACCTTAGACAATTTTTCACAGTCAGGTGCATGCTCAACAAACATTTGGCTTCAATGCAAAGCCATGGTTACATAGCACTGGGAACCATGAATAAGACTATTCATTCAACTTTTGCAGAGGAGTGGTAACCTTAATACAGTCACATCACCATCTATCACAGCCATATCACAGCCATATCACATCCTTATTTCTGGTGTAATGAAATTTTCTTACCAGGATAACAACCCCAGATACATGGCTGTAAAGTTGCCATGTRAAGATAATTGTTTTGGTCATTCTAGATGTTGACCTGCATGTCTAATTAAAAACGGCTGACATATTTGATTTTAATTGGTCAATATCATATACTCTCACAATTAAATATTGTAATTTAATAGTGTTTTCTTGAGTGTATTGGCACGACCTGTTCTGTTCAATCTAAAATGCATGCAATTTACAGTTTGCACTATGGCATCATACATACTACCAGGATTGCTTTTCGCACACCTTTAGAAATAGCTGGAAATAATGTAGAAGTAACTTGAAAAAGGTAGAAGTAACTGGAAATAAGGTAGAATACAAAGGTACGAGTACTTCCTCTGGTTTCAAGTTACTTCACGTGGTACAAATTGCAATCAGAGATTGGCTGGATACCTCATGAATAATTAATGAGTATGAGAATACCCAATCCAGTATTGCACTTGAAGGTGTAGTTAGTTTCATTATGTGCTTTCAGTTACTGGGGTAAAGCAAATGACTTGGCTGTGTTCTCAAACCATGGAAACCCAAAAATAAAACAATTTTTCTTAATAGAGTGAATTGAAACCATGAAAGTAGAGTGCAAGTCACATAAGCATGAAACAATTCTTAACTATGTAGTGCTAAATAAGATTTAGTTATCAACTAACTAAGAATTGAGAACAATGCTACAAAGGAATTTAAATAATTGGCATTGTGTTTCTGCTTTGTTGAATTCTTAGTTAGTTGATAACTAAATCTTATTTAGCAATACATATTAAGAATTGTTTCATGCTTATGTGACGTGCACTCTATACAAAAATTGTAACTGAAGCATGACATCGTTTGAATTCCCTTTTTTTAATGTGAACCATTTACTAAAATTGCACAAAATAGTACAAAGATTACGATTACTCAGGTTTATTGTGTTAACTGGACATAAGAGTGATTGCACTTAAACCGTGCAACTGTACAAAATCTAAGTATAGTTCCAATTTGTACTAATAGTGGACCTAAAGCGAGACGGTATTGAATGCTTCATTTGCATCAATTCAATTTAATTTTCATACCGCATGYACGTTTTACTTAATATAACACTATTTACTTTGACTTTGCACGGTTTAAGTGTGAACACTCTATATGCTTACTTAGTGTTATTTTCATACCACATAAGGATTTAAAAACTTTTGCCGTAAAGAAGAAAAAAATCCAATATGTTTAAACAAATTGGGCTGGACAATAAATGCTTTTTTATTTTTAGCTTTGATGTACTTGTCTAAAACTGTATCTTTGCCATTGCTTGGATAACAACTTTGGCTGCTTAGATGCTCCACAACTTCTTGAGCTCCATGATGTGGAAATAACATTGCAGGAGTGCAGCATTCAGGCGCTGACATAAAACTGTATAAGTGAGGTGACAAAAGCCGCCTAAATTTTAGGAGATGCGGCCGTCCTACTGCCATAACAACTAATGCTACATATATAAAAAGGGACAGCCAAAGCACATTTCTATGGTACAGAGACTCAGATGCAATTCGTTTATTTATTGTATATCTGTAAACCACCAAGAGAACTGTTCCAAAAAGTGAACTAATGCCAAATAACTCAGAAAGGCGATCTGGTTCCAAACTGATGTAGCCTATTAACCGCTCTGGGTGGAAAAGCTTAACATATATTGAATCACCAATCTTGAATTGCTTGCCATGCTTAGAAGAAAGGCCATAATGTTTTTTGTGAACTGGTGTACCAGAGCTTATAAGGGTCTTCAACACAATAAATAAATCATCCTCAGGGTAGGAATCATCTTCAACAACAAGAATGAATTTTGGGTTCTGTTCAAGGGAAGAATTTAGACAGTAAACATAATCTTGCTTTTCTTTTTCAAAGATGTTCCATGTTTTAAAGCTTTTATCATGTTTATCTTGGTATTTGTTGTTAACATAAAGAAAATATGTAAGATCCATGGCTTCTTTGTGTACCTCTGGATATCCATCAACATTACACACAGAAAAGGAAACCTTCAAGTCAACAATATTGTTTCTTTGTCCTTCGTAGATCAACCATAACATCTTCCACACAACCTGTGTAAGATACAATGGATTGTAGTTGTCTGCTCCTTGATTTCTTGCAGTTGTTATAATAGTGATAGCCAAATCTGGTGATGTCCAATTTCTCATTCTCTCAAGTATGTCTGTATTTTCAATAAAATGCTTCTTTTTCTGTATTTCAAGGATGCGCATCTGATTTTCTTTAAGCATCTGGTCTCGTCCAGCCTTAGAATCCATGCTAGTAAAGTTATAAATAGAAAACTGAAGATTTGAACAAATCAATGGCAAAATTAAAAGAAATGTCAAGCCATATAGCATGATTATGTGACGAGCTGATTTGCCTGCGATCCACAACTTACACCTGACCATCTTGGAATGTATTACACCTGCAATATAACCAATCATTATGATACATAAAATTGATGAATTTGAAATTGGATCAGTGGTTTTATTGAAGAAACATTAAGATCAACATAAAGTAAAAAAAAATACAAGAAAATATGGGGTAAYTGTTTTTATTCCATATATATCTTATCAATTATTAGATTAATTCCAAATAAAGAAACATTCCTGCTCATTTAGAAGGATCTTTGTTTACAAAATTTTGCTCATTGGCATAGGGCGCGCATAAAAGGTGTTGTGGCAAAATATGTATATTCTCTCTAAAAAAACTGAAGAATCGCAAAAATCATAGAGCGCGAAACTGATTGTGTATTTTTTTTTAGAGAGAGCTGATTGTATTATGTTCTTTCAATATTCAGTGCTGATTTGGTGGTATTTTCTCTCTGGTCAGCGATTTTATAGTTTTTAAAGTGTTGTGTGGCAATTACCCAAAATAGCCTGGATATAYTTTTTCTCTAAAAATTAAAGTGAGTTTTTAAAAATGTAAATCGCAAACATTATTCTGTCTAGAGAGCCCACATTTTCAAGAAAAGMTTTTTTCAAGTAAAGGTTTTTTTTTAGCATATTCAAATATTATGCTATGTTCTTTTGATATTTCAGTGCAAAAATGGAAATGTGTTTGTAAGTAAACATTGATGTCAGCAAAGATTCKCCCAAAATTCTTCCCCCACGAATTGACGTTTGGTTTTATAAAGTAAAAGCTATACACCCTTTTAATAAGTCCCATCATGATGGTAACTTATTGTTTTCTCCGCACTTGACGTCAAATTTATTCTTTTGAAACTTTTACAATACAAAAGGAATTCAAAAGAATAAATTTGACGTCAAGTGCGGAGAACGTAATACCTCGGGACTTATTAAAAGGGTGTATAGGGATCATACTTTCCCATGAATATAAGCTTAAGCTTAAGCTAAAGTAACTTAATCAATGTTGGTTCGGTTGGTTTTAACAGCTTACTTAATTTTGTCTTTCAAATGCATTCAAAGAGCCGTTTCTAAAATATATATGGAGTTAAAAAAGCCAGAAAACTAAGCACTAGGCTAAATACGTTGGTCTACTCACTCAGGTCGTGCTGTGTGCATAGATGCTGCAAATGTTATCATCGTCATACTAGTATCTCGTACGCAGAGCCCGCTGCGACGCCATTTTGAAAAAAGAGCGAGCCGAGAGACCCTGGGGACGAGGTTGTGAAAATCCCTCTCGAGCCCAGAGTCTTCTCGGCTAATGTCAGCGGTATGCTGACGCTGGACAAACATTTTGAAAGCGAGAACAATCTCGTACCCAGAGCCCACACTTTTGCCATCCAGCGGATGTCAATTGGACGGTGGATGAATTCGCTGGATGGCAAAAGTGTGGGCTCTGGGCTCGAGATTGTTTTCTTCGTCGAGCCTGCGCAGTAAGAGGGACAAGGGTGCTGGGTACGAGATTGGACAGTCAAATGATTCCTTGCAGCGAGCACTCTGGCCCTTGGACTTGGCGGTATTAAAACAACAAAATTGGCTTGATTTTTACAAGGGTTTGAAAGGTAAAAGCTGTGAATGTGTTTACTAGATTTTAGTGTGAAGACCTCTAGTTATTGATTCACAAGAAGGGAGCCTTTAATTGATATCAGTGTTTTAATTTCGAAAGAACTGAAAAGTACAAGTAAGCTTGAAAGCGCGGGCTAGCTGCTTATGTTTACAAAGCATTCAGCTTACATAGTAATAATTTATCGCAAACTCTTTGCAAAGGAGTGATAAAGTGGCGTTGAGCTGCATAGTTTCAACAATATTTGCCGAGAATTAGTGCGAAATTCAATGAGGGGATGTCKCCACCAATCTCAGGTACGGTTCATTACGTCGAGCCAGCGTCGCGACGAGCCAAGTAGCCAGGTAATATGGAATCTAGCACAAATTGACGTGTGAATCAGTTATGTTTGGCGCGACATATGGTACTTGTGTTTTGATTACAACTTTATTAATACACAGAGAAAGACCTAAAGAAGTGTACATTAGTTATATAAACTATATTAAGCTAATTATTCTACAGTAACAAGGTCTATCTTATACATATTGTTCCACAGGTAGTGGATTACATTACATAATAAAGCGTGACCTTGCAAGTCGAGGTGACTCACAACTAAGTTTTACATGTAAAATAACAACGAAATGAAAGCTTACCCCAGCGGTGGGAACTAAAATAAACTACAAATCCATTAAATCTTTGTGCTTCTAGTGTATATATGATAAAGCCTATAAAAATATATGTAATAATATTGAAATATACAAGAAACAAAGGACAAATTAGTGAAAGAAAMGCTACTTGAGTAAGTGCATCAGGCACGAACAAAAGTGCTCAAAACAATATAAAAACAATTAAATCTGTGAAGAGAAACTTACAATTCAGCTTYYGTAACTCTTTAGAATCCAGCGTTACAGCTTTATCAAGAGGATGGCCTAAAATAGGCTTATGATAAAACAATTAAGCTAATTATTCTACAGTAACAAGGTCTATCTTATACATATTGTTCCACAGGTAGTGGATTACATTACATACAGGGGTGGATCTAGGATTTTTTCTGAGTGCCAGTGTCCAAACCAACCATACAATATATACCATAATGCCCATATTCTAGAACTTCTTGTTTATATATGAAAACGAAGAGGCGGAGTAGCAGCAAATCTTGTCTCCTTTCTATTAAATATATACTTAGCTCTACACTGTTTGTGTATTGAGCACTCTTTAATTGGAATAGATGCTTCCTCATATGATTTACTTCTTGTTTATAAATAGTAACAATTAAAAACAATTAATTTTTTTTTCTGGTATAATAGTTATGATTTCTATAGTTTATCAGGTCTTCAATTGAAAAAAAAAAAAACTCTCACAAAGAACAACATACCTATTGGTTGTCTTGCGAAATATCAGCCATTCTCATTCTTCTTGGGTGCATTTGTGCAAAAAGATCAATCACCTGGTCTAAGTTTAAATGCTTGTCACTATGAGCATACATTAAAGCAAGTCCATTCAGCCTATCCTGTGTCATGGTATTTCTGAGATATGTTTTAATGTATCTTAGAGTTGAGATTGACCTTTCACATGTTGCTGATGAAATAGCGCTCCGCACAGTTACTAAAAATAGATACATTAATATGCGACCCCTTATGGACTCAGACATTGAACCCAAACACGCCATACAAACACACCAAAAAAACACTGATTTCATCAAGAAATATCTTCAATTATATTCGTACTAGAAGCTTTTAAACATAATGATTATGTCGAGTAAGCATTACTGCTTCATTGGACCATGGAATATCATCTGTAAATGCCCTGAATGTCTCGCAGATCCGCATATCGTCTTGGGACTTATGCCCGCTACCTGACCTATGTTACGGTAGTATARAATGTGTTTTATATACATTTTTGCCAGAAAAACTACTCTAGAAGTATTTGGAGATAACCGAAATTGGCYGCTTTAGTTGTTAGGAGGAAAGTACACTTCATTAAAACGCATTTGATTCCATCGAATCTTGGCGGATCACGGCGTTGTGTGTCTTTATGTCAGACTTGAAAACTCAATCGAATAGTATTATCATTGTAATTATTTGAAGTAAAGAGAGCCACAATAGCAAAATAATATTCCTTTTATTGTATAAAGAGTTTAATCATTGCGTTTTGCGTCATTCTAGCCATTTATTTACTATGTAACAAACCGAGTTATGTCAGTTATTGTACTCGACAAGGGATATACACCGGTTGCTTTGATTGAACGTAAAATTATACAAGCGAATAAGAAATAAATTCTAAAGAAATATCAACTCAAGCTATATTCGTATATACATAATGGTTTCCTATTAGTTTGAGACTATTTAATCACAAGTTTTGGACCCGTTTAACGACCCGCTTTCGCTTTACTTTTGCTCACGAAAACTTTATAGAATATAATTTTCCGCTTCTTTGCATGCTCTATTTGCTTGACTTTGTTTGATTTAGWTTCCTAAATGAGATGCCTATTGCTCAAAAAGTCTTTAAAATGCTATTTTTCTGACGATATAGCTTTAATATCTAAGATTCTGAGCCCTAAATAATTCGAGATTAGGGTGAGATTAGGGGCAGTTAAACATCGTTGTATTCACTCGAATTTGGAATTCTTTACAAGTTTATCAAAGTTAAGAGCCCTACACGTTATAATCTTAACTCAGAATAGAAATTCGTTGCGTTTAACTAMCCATTATCGATGACTAAAAATGGCGAATTTACCAAGGATWAGTATGMAGYATTGTAAAGTTTGTCTGAGTTCTCGACGGGGTGCAAAATGTGTGACGTCATCTGTGCGGAGCGCTATTGGAATAGTGGAGAGAATTTGCAATACTGTGAAAATATTGCAAAAGGCTTGCTGGTCTACAACTGCCAAGGCCTCTGACACTCTGTCTGGAATGTTAGCATTTCTGTTTCTTTCATTAATCCAGAGTTTTTCCCACATAATCAGTTCTGCATTTAGACCACCCACATTAGGCAGGTCTGCTCTATAATAATCACAGAATTCTCTTACATTGTCCTTCCATGATGCAGCAAAATCAAGCATTACAGCTGGGGTGATATACAGCCCTTTGTAGCAGCTATATACTTCCTCTTGAAAACGCCTGTCAACATGTTGAGAGCAGTGATCAAGGAAAGCTCTAGTGAGGTTAATCTTGTAGTATGCCTCAGGATTAGGAGCTGGTCCATTGGCTCTATGTACTTGTCTTTGAACTACCCTGGGCATAGATGGCTGAACTCCAACACTGGCTGCAAAGGTTAACAGCTTCTTCATGGAGATTATGATGCCTTGCATCAATATCTCTTTGCATTTCATCTAAAGCACTTTGCAGTAGAGATATTTCTTCCCTTGCTATCCATCTTGTCCTGCATACATTGATTAGTACCCGATGATTGTTGTCAGGGAGCAGTTCTTTGATTTTCTCAACCAAGTGTTGCTGACGCTTAGGTGAATTGTTAAAAAATTCTGACAGCTTCCTAACAGTTGTCATCATGTTTTTCACAAGTTGCAATGAACAGGAATCTGCAATGCAAAGATTAAGCCGATGACTCATGCAATGCACGTAAATAGCCTTTTCGTGACCGTCTGTGATCAAGGTTGAAGCTCCATTTAGTCGTCCGGCCATGTTCCCTGCTCCATCATAGCACTGTCCACGACAWTCGTCCATAGACAGCCGTAAATCAGTGACTGCGTTATTTATCAGATCTTTGATCGCTCATCCGCTAGTCCCTTCTTCACATATATGAAAGCCAATAAACTCTTCACGAATTGCTTGATTTTTATCAACAAATCGCAAGCAAATGGATAAGTTTTCTTTATTAGAAATATCTGCAGCTTCATCAGCAAGTATAGCAAAATATTTGCTCTCTCTGATTTCACGCGAGAGATCATCCAAAATAAACTTGCCAACAGTTGTTATTATCTCGTTTTGGATAGTTTTTGAGACATACGTCGCATTGTGTGGTGCATTCTCCAGATGTGATTCTAAAAGTTGATCTCCACTGTCCACACGAAAATGGAGCAACGCTTGAAAATTGGCTTGTAGAGTCTCATCAGTCGGGTCATTGTCTCTTCGGCCGCGTAAAATGTTGTTGCGACCACAAAATATGACAGTTTTAAATAATGACGAGAGAATCTCCCGATTTTTGGCAATTTGTTGCTGTAATAATGTATCAAGTTGTTGATCTATAGGTACTGCTTCTTGCCGCATGCTTTTTATGAAGTTATTCATAGCAATTACAGAGTGATTGTGGGTCTGAGATTTACCGTTCGAATGACTTCCGAGGTGCTGAAAGGCGGTAGTCCAAAAGGTTAAAAGCGACTTGACCAATTTGTCCAACTTACTTGAATTGTGATGGCCACTTTCTTTTGCAAAAAAAGCACAAGGGAGACAGAAGGCTCCATCGAGGTATTTAGAATATACTAACCAAGGAAAACTCTTGAGCCATACTGGATTAAACCATCTTGTCCGGCTACCCTCTTTAGACTTGCAGAATTGAAAATCGCTGTTTTTTTTAATTTGTCAATTTTAGTTTATTCACACTTTTCTGATCACAGTATTTACATTCATGATTATTTTATTTTATTGAATATTTCTAATGTAATTTATAATACATCATTAATTTGAATAAGTGTACGGCAACCAAAGGAGCTAAAATGCTTTCGAGTTGGTTGCCCTAATTGTCAAAAAATAAAAGATAAGTAAGGAAATAAGGAAGAGGGAATTAGAGGGAAAAGAAAGCTGAGAGGAAGGAATATTATACATTAAATAAATTTTTTTTTTTAATATCAAGAGAACTAATTATATTAATTATATTATGCTGAATTAGATAATTGTTTCTTGCAAACATGTATAGTCAATACTTATTTGAATGTGTACTGATTATTGGTTGTTATAGATTAGGTAATCCTTATACATGCGTTTTAAGGATGTATAAGGAAGGCCTTTGAATGAATATGGTACTGTTTCCCAGACCTTGGAGCTAGTGTATTTGAAAGTGAATTTACCGTAGTTTGTGCGTGTTACATGTCTATAGAGATTGTTGCTGGATGCCAATCTTGTATTATAATGATGCACAGTTGAGATAGGTACAATCGAGTGACTGAATATATCATATGAGGTTATAGACTTGTTAATTATTTGGTATGTAAGCAGAACCACTCTCAATTTGTAAACAATTTTGATCTGCAGGATGCCTAATAGTTTGAAGTACGGATTCGGATGATTGCATCTATTCAAGAAAAAAATACATCTGATACATTTCCTCAGTTGAGAAGATAATTTACTAATCCTAGTTTTATAGATAGCTCCCCAACTCATAATTCCATATTTTATATAAGGAAAGATTAAAGAATAATAGAAGCTTGTTAACATCTTTAAGGTTAAGTATCTTCTGAGCCTATACAAGATTCCGATATTTTTTGCGATTTTATTACTTATATATGATACTAGATGACTTTTCCAATTTAGGTGTCTATTGATATATACACCTAGGTATTTGATGCAATCTTTCTGTGTAATATTAGGAATAATAATTTGCGCACTTTTTGTGAYGAGAGGCCTTCTGGGAAGGCTCTCGTCATAATGTCATTGTGCAGGTAAATAAGAGTGTAACCACTCCACGTCTAGCAGGCGTTCCTGGTGGTAACTTAAACATGTGAATGTAGTCAAGGAGATCTTTTACGATCGAGTAATCGAGTTTATCGATTTATACGAGACTATATGAAGTTATCTACGAAATCCTGACGTCTGAAATAATCACTGAAAATACGATCAAGAAACGATTTGTCCTGACCATGTGCGTTCTCAGTCTCTTCGATCGTTGATGTGTTTGTGCTTTCGAAGCTGAGTTGTTCTTTCTATTACAGTATAATGTATTTAAACTCTGTTGTGTCTGGACCTAGGCACAACTTTCTTTGCATTTACAGTCAAGTGTGTATTTCTAAAGAATATTTTAGATTTTGTAGTGGTTTACGGGSATTGTTTGACAACAAAAGTCCGATTGCTTAGCTTGGYTTGTTACAGACCAGTCCCGACCGCATGATTACTGCCATTACTAGATTACACATCAAAATGATTTSACCTATGTTAGCTTATGTTGTTGCAGTCTATTTTGACTCATTGTACTCGTTTTAGAGCTTTACAAATTTCAATGCCGATGTCAACACACTTTTCACACATAAACAAGTTATTTAATGCACAAAATGCGGTAAAACCTACAAACAAAAAAAAATTAATTAGTACAATCATTACTTACATATATTGGAAAAACCTAAACCTAAAATAACTCACATCTTTGCAGAATATAAGTCTAATAACGGTCATAAAACAACTAGAAAAAGTTTCTCCATGTGCTCGCCATGTTGGTTCTGTGCGCAAAGACTTGTGGGGCACAGGAAGCCCAAAATAATACATATTAATTGTACAAATACATAATTGTGWTCRAGCAATAAAATAAAACTAAACTACTAAAAACGAACATACGGAACCGATTCCGTTACACCGGAGGGGTGAATGTTGCTGCGATCACAGTCATTAGAATGTCTACTTTTCAGCTTGATCAGGATCATAATCAACAGGAATCAGCAATGCTAATCGATGAACACTCCTGGATRCAACGATGTCTCTTGCTCCACTGTATTCTTGGAGTTTCYSCCCTACTCTGTAGGATTTGTAACGAAYTGTAACCTGACGCACCTTGCCGTCGGCACTTGGGAAGACGTCTTTCACCTCTCCAAGTCGGTATTCTCCACGCAGTGTGTTCTTGTCAGCAATTATAACAACATCTCCTGTTTGTAGGTTACGGTGAGCTGTACTCCATTTCTTCTGTACTACCAATGTAGGGGCGTAAAGCTCAGTCCATTTCTTCCAAAACTCGTCAGTTAAAGCTTGAACAATGTGATATCGAGTATTAAGTGATGTTCCTTGTGGTTGCCATCCACGAGAGTTGACTGCTGTTGCGCGCCCAAGTAATAGGCTGTTCGGTGTCAAGATGTTCAGTTCAGAGTCTGTGCTGACAAGAGATCCTATAGGTCGCTCATTCAGAAGGTTAGCTWCTTCGCTGCACAGCGTCTGAAATTCTGGCGTTGATAGTCGTTGATTGTGTACAGCAAAGTGTATAGCGCGCTTTGTACTCTTCACGAGGGACTCCACGGCACCTTGATACCATGGACTATCAGCTGGTCCAAACACCCAAGTAGTACCTTCCTCTGTGCTTCTCCRTTGTATAGTGTCTGAATCAATCTTCTGCCATGCTTCTGTTAACTCTCGCTCTGCTCCGATCAATTGTGAGCCTTGATCACTGTAGATGGTCTGTGGCCAACYTCTTATACTTGCAAATCTACTGAGGGCCATCAAAAATGAGATGGTGTCATAGCCAAATACAGACTCAATGTGAACTGCTCTCATGGTCAATTCGGTGAATATTACACCATAAGCTTTGCCGCTTATTCTCTTCTGAACTTCACCTCGTACCGAGTAAGGACCAAAGAGATCCAGCATAACATTGTTGAATGCTGGGGCAGGCTTAAGTCGGACTTCAGGTAACGGACCCATTTCTTGCTTGAGAAATGTGGCTTCTCGTAGTTTGCACATCTGACATTTTTTTCTCACTGAACTGGCCAATTTACTTCCACGAGGCATCCAATAGTGCTGTCTGAAACGTGCTAGAGTTGCGTCTCTTCCTCTATGACCTTCCTGATGGGCACGTTCCATGAACAACCTTGTGCCATGATGACAGGTGGGAAGTAGTTTCTGTAGTTTCGAGTCTGCTGTCATGACATTGTGTTTCCGTAGTCGGCTTCCGATCACCCAACATCCGCTCTTCTCCAGTTTGGGGCTTAGACTGTGGTATTTACCGTTCTTCTCAAACTCGCTGGTTACGCAACTGTGGATGTCTTTCACAACGAAGTTTTCAGCTTCAATAAGATCGTCTGCAGAAATGTTAGAGCACTTTCCACCAGTAAAAGACTTCCTCTTCATGATGCCTTGTAGACGGGCTACCACCCAGATAACCTGTTTTANAGCTCGTTGGCTGTCACTTTTGAAGCGATCTGCCGTCTTGTAAAGTGCCTCTGTGCTGATAGCTGGTGCTGGTTTGTCTCCCATGTTTACACGTTGGATCACGTACTCGTCTGGGTCACGCATGGTTTCAAGGTCCCTCCAAAGGAACCTATGGCAATGCTGTTCCAATGGTTTGAGTAACACGGAATTGAACATTTTCCTAAAGTCTCCAACGATAGCGACTTGCTCTTCTCTCCATCGTAAAAGAATTCCTAACAGGTTGTTGATATAGTTATCTGGACCTTTAGCTAAATAAGAGTTTAAGGAGACGCCAAGGCCTTTGACAACTTGACTTGAGTTGAATACGATGCGAACCGGCGTAGAATTAGATTTCGGGTTTGACGACTGCCAGATGCGATATGTAGAACACCGGTCCTGACCAGCTGCTGATTTCCTCCTTGGTGAGCTTACGAGCCACGTCGCGGTCGACCATGTCTTTCATTTGGTTTTTATAAGTACCTGACCACTATTCGTCTTTATCAAGGGTTTTTTCAGTGCTTTTGAGGGTAGAGAGAGCTGTGTTATAGTTATTAGGCAATGTTGAAGGGTCAGACGTCCACGGGTAGCTTGTTATCCATCGTTATTTTTGTTCATCATACTGTAAGTTCTCTTGAATCAATTTGAGTTCTTGTTCTTCCTTAAAAGAGTATGTGTGTCCAACTGTTGGGCACTTGTTACAGCGGCATCCACCACATTTAGGTGTGGTTTCAGTTCCTAGTTCTTCTCCAAGAACGAAGCTATGAAGATCATTATCTTTAGTTGTTTTGCCTTTCTTAGCACTTACGTGGTAAACGGAGTGTTCGTTCAAGTCCTCACTTGTGTGATTTGAAGTCTTCACACGAGGTTGAAATTCTTAGTGGACAAAAACTTGAGAGTGATTTGTCTGGGTCTTGATTCCAGGGTCATGAATAGTCTTAACGAGATTTGAATCGAAGACTGTTTCCTCTTTCAACTGGGGATGAGTTCCTTGTAAGCAAATGCCGAGCTCTCCACTCATCACGCTTAGGTTGTCTCCACACTTAGCTTCTTCTTTTTTAGGGTGGAGACCGAAGTAATCACACCCTAGTACCACATCAACGTTCGTATCCTTTCTTTGTAAACACTCTGCATTGAAGTCTGGAAACAATTTCGAAACAGTGTCAAGGTTCAGTCTACTAACTTGCTCGGTAATGTTATCCATTCCAAAGGCATTGACCACTGCTTTCCTTCCTGAAACTGTTTGCAGTGTGAATTCATACTCGACAGTATCATAAGTTGTTTGTTACCCATTGTGGTAACGTCTAGGGTATATTTGTTCAATCGTCTGGCTTTAATCCTGTTAGCCGCCCTGTGGGTAATGTAGGTC